ATGTTTCTTGTTTGATTCCCTTCTGAAGACTTATGCTGCTGCCTCATCGATTCTGTCATCGTCCAAGGAGTCAGTGGAGGATGCAGAGAGCTGCTTCCTAGGACGTATTCTTTCTCTGGCACGCTCCTGCCGCCTCTCCACCCCATCCACAAGAAGGGCTCCATCTACGCTGTTGTTGCTTCCGGCTGAGCTTGTGCTGCAGGTGCGGTATCGGCTCCGCCGCTTGTCAGAGCGGGAGTAGCGCTTGGTAGAGCCCAGCTTCCCCTGCATCACCTCATCGTTTGTTCTCCTTACCCTGTCGCTTCGCTCTGTTCGTCTTCCTTTTTCTCCCCTTGAGGCTTTCACTCCTTCCCCTGCCTGGCTCCCGTCTCTGTCCTCCTTGCTTGATTTGGTTTTCCTGTTGTTGTCTTTTCCAGTACCTTTCTCAGCCTCTGCATCTCCCTCCACTTTCAGCTGCTCCATCTTACTGGTGACTTCCTCGGCAGCTGACCGCAGAGCCGGTTCTTTAGCAGCTGAATGCAGGCGTTTCCCAGGCTGGTAGATCTGCTGGTCCGGCTTCTTGGTTCTCCTGGTGGTCTTGGGACACCACTCATCCGGAGCAGGCTGCTTGGGCAAGTTCTCCTGGCTCTGAAGACCACCTTTAGTCTCTGTCTCTTCATTTTCCTGCAAAGGACCGTTCTGCTTGGGGCCATCACCTTTGCCAAAATCCTCTGTGACTGGAGCCTCTCCTCCTGAAGGGCCCTTGTCGCTGGCACTCTGCTCCTCAGCTCTGCTCCTCTCCTTCTCTGAGGCCTCGTGCTTTGGCAGCACGAGTTTGCTCCTCAGTCGGGAGAGGCCAGGCTTGTAAATCTCCAGATCTGGGCGCCTGTTGTCTTTGCGATGTCTCGGTTCCTTCACTTCCTTCATATTTTCTGGGGAAAAACAGAGAGAAGAAAGTTATTCCCACCACAAGCCAGCCAGGGACAAAAAAACATCACGACAAATACTCAAGGGGAGATCTTAAGTAAAGGCAAAAAGCCTGATGCCCTCCAGGCAGGTCCAAGCAAACAGATCTGACGTTCTCTGTCAAGGCCTACAGGAAATCACAGAGCAAGGGTAGGAAACAAGAAAGGATAACAATGCTGAGCAAATCCTCGGCCTCATTCGCTTACAGAACGCATCCCGCAACGGTTTTGCCTGAAAGAGCCGGCACGCTGAGAAAGCGACAGAGAAAGCACAACGCAATACTCGAGCGCTCACAACAAGTACCGGACGAGAAGTTTTAGCGTCACAGTTTCAGCAGCAGCTGCCTGCTGTTGGTGCGGGAGCCCCTCTGCCTGCAGGCGCTGCCCTCTCCACCCGCTCTGCCGACAGACGGGGCCGATCCCCCCGGCTCACACCTCGGTAGCGCTTCTCCCCTCCTCTCCGTAGCTGTATTTACGCAAAAGCTCCTCAGGGAACCCAGCCTGGGCAACGCGTCCTTAAACGTTTCACCGAAACCGGGCTGCTACGCCCTGCGTTCCCTCGGCTTCCTCCTCCCGTCAGCAACCTGCGCCGCCCGGGCCCGCCGAGCCTCAGCCACGGGAGAGCCACAGCTACCGGGGCTCGGCCCCGGAGGGGGCCCCGAGGGGGCAGGGACCGGCCTGCCCCGGGGCAAAGCCCCCGTTCTCAGCGCTTGCGTGCTCTCCCCTCCGGCGACAACAGCGTCCGGGGCTTC